ACAACTACCCGTCGGCTGCCAGTGGCTCCCTGCAGCAACTGCCCGCCGGGGTCCGTGTGTCCGGCCCACCCCCAGAGTCTAGAATGCACGTTTACAGCTCGCGTCATCCTTCACCCCTCGAGGGGTCAACCCTCCCGAGAGACAATTTTCCCCAGTGTGAAGGGAAGGAGAGCAGGCCGGAGCACCAGCGGCCCGCCCGGGCCCACGGCTCCGCACGTGGCCGTCCCCAGTCAGGCCTCACCCTCCTCCGGGTCAGCCTCAGGATCCGCCTCACGAGGTCTCGGGTTCAACAACTGTTCCAGCTGCAGAGCCAAGGGCTGCGGCCCCGCCATGGTCACCGGGTCACGGTCGGCTCTGTGCTAGCGAACGCGCAGCCTCAGCTCCGGCCCAGCGCTCCCGGCCGGGCTGATCCGGCCCGACCCTACTCCAATACCACTGGCAGGGATGTTGCCGGGCCGGCGTTCGGAGTCCCAGCAGGCAACTTCCGGGAGGCGCGCGCCGGAGGGGCGGGGCCTAGCGTCACCACCAGCGTTTCTAGGCTGGAGACGCAGGCGCGCGAAACCGGGCCGGGTCGCAGGCGCCCTAACGCGCGTGCGCCAGAGGCCAGGGGCGCGCGGCGGTCGACGCGGGAGCGCGCGAGGCCACGTGACCGCCTCCAGCGAGAAACGTTGATTGCGTTTCGAGCTGCCAAGGTCCCCTAAGCACAAAATAACGCCTCCAGCTCTGTGCGAGGTTGGTTCAGGAATTAAGCGTCAAGTAGCTATGGCTCATGGTGGCTGGCTGATTTGTGAAAAGAGTAGAGGATAAGCCTTCGAGCCTCAGGTACACACTCGAGCAAGCACAGACCCGGACTCAAAACTGGGCTTTTCTCAGTGTAGAGGAGCCTAGGGCCCGGAGCACACCTCCATCTCTCAGCAGCCAGGATCTGAGAGGCCTGCGTGTGTAAGTGTGCGGCGGCGTGCGATCTTTATTAATAGGAATAATTAGGAATTGCGATGGTTGTACCGCAAATCAAGATTGCTTCTGTAGCTTCTTGTACTCTTTTGCCTGAGCTAGCAAAATCCAAAAGCCTCCCCACCCCACCCCCTGCAAGCAAAAGGTGGTGGTGGGAGGGTGTTAGAATTACTTTCCTACACTCCTCGGTATTAACCGCTTTATTGTTTAAAGATGGAGCGACTCAGATCCCCAAAACCAGTGAACAAATGAAGAGAAACCCTTCACTCAGCTCTAACATTAGGTGGTTAGACTCAAAATATAAAGAACCTTAATGAGATAAATTTAATTGCACCCAGACACATGTAAATAGGCAGTCACTTTACATTCTCTTTCCTTCATGGAGCATTCCTTCCTTGACTGCTCATTCTGTGGCAGGCACTGCTAGATGAGATACAGAATGAGTAAGTTAGAGTCTCTCCACACAGTGATCAGCCTAGAAGAGCAGCAAACATGAACAGCAATGAGGAATGACAATTTTGAGTGTAAAGTGGTCTGTACTGATCTGTTGTCGGTCTTCCGTGGAGACCTAGAATCCGCTGTAAACAGAAAAGCTGCCTCAAAAGAATCCATTAAAAAAAGACATGAGTAAGACACTCTGACCACGCCTGTTTGTCCATTGAGGAGACAGAGTGGCTAGCCCCGGTTGCCTTCCATCCCATTTCAAAGTTGAAGATGGCCTTGAATTCCTTGATCCTCCTGCTTTCCCGGGAGTAGAGGTATGTGCCTGCCACTACACGCTGTTTATTCAGGGCTAGGGGCTGAACCCAAGGCTTTATGCATGCTAAGCAGGAACTCTTCCAGTTTTACATCTGCAGCCCAGGACTGTGTCTCAAGTATACTCCAAGCCAGTTGGATCCCAAAGTGAGCAAGGCAGGCAACTGGTATCTCCCCAGTGGAACCCACAGGAAGACAATTCAGAGACCCTCAGATACAGGCAATAAGAGATTACTACTTTAGAGTAGCCTGTCCTAAACGGCCCCTTCAGTGAAGATGACCATGGCTACAAAAGAGAAAAAAAAAATAGATGGTCGTAGGGTAAAGCCTTTCAGATATGGAGCTCAAACAATGTCTAGAATGACTAGGCAGAGACTCAGGCAAAGAAGATCTTTGTGTGACTGAGTAGTTTAGAGGGCTTGTTTTTAAGCGTGCCCTCTGTGATTGCAGCCTTGCATCTGGATTAGAACCACCACAGCAAAAAATGTGCACCTTGGTTCTTTACGAGGCGTCGTTGCCTTGGGCCTAGAGAACAAAAAGTGTTCTCCCACTCCCACGTTCAATTATGTCCTCCCAGATCCTCTCCCCCTGCTATTTCAGGCACAAAGAGTACTTAGAAATCTGCCCTTAAAGGGAAGGAGAAAAGAGTAAAGGAAAAGGGATACAGGGCAGAGACCACCTTGAAGCTGTTATGCATACATACAGGACACTGCTGCCCTATCTGAGGCAGAGCTGAGCAAACGCTCAGTATAAGGTGCCAGGAGCCTGCTTACCAACCCTCCCTCTCCTGTCTTGGCTGTCCCTGACGGGCCCATTTATAGGAAGAAGTCAATAGTGTTTTTACTCTTGCCACGCATATCCCAGGCCCCACAATTGCTTCTTCTGCTTTTCTACCCCAGGAGAATGATAGAGCTTAAGATGCAATTAAGAGAAGTTGAGGTATAGGGCAAGAGCGAGACCATTTGGCTCTCTGGAGCCCCAGTTGCGTTCTAGTTTCTTCCCAGTTGCATTCTAGAGGTAGGTGAAGGCCTCCAGACTAGGGTGGAGTGGGCTTGGGGATGGAGGGTAAATTGTGGGAGGAAACGGTATAGGGCAGTGTAGCTTCCTGAAGAAATTTCAACCTTTATGCGTTCTAGAATGTAGAGCAGGTGCCTGGAGCTGAGAGGACCATAAAAGCGAGTAGTCTGTCCTCTAGAGAAAAGACAGGAGTTTGGGGTTCACCTCCTTCTATCTGCTGTCTGAGCTGCAAAGTGGCAAAAACAGCCATGGATAGGCAGAGGTAACTAAATTAGACACCTCCCTCTGATGGTCAGAAACAACTAGAGTTTCAGGAGTTTAGAGAAACCAGGTCTTGACCCTGTCTTCCTAAACACCATCAACCTCAGGTCCCAGACCCCAAGACAGGACCTGTCCTGGGTCTCCACTAATTCACCTGCCTTCTTGACTGGCCTTGCATCAAAACAGGCTGCTAGGACAGGGGAAGAGGTTGAGTAGGTGAGCTTTGAGTCCCTCAGCTTAGATGGCAGCTCCTTGAAGCTGGAAAAGCGCTTGCCATATCCAGCTGTGAGGAGGCCGCCCTCTGGGATTGGGGGTTGGGGGAGGACAGCATTAGTGGACGAAAGGACATAACCCTCCTTCTGGCATTCTCTCCAGACAGCAAGAATGGTTCTCCGCTGCTCTGAGCTAGAGGTGTGGCTGCAGACATGAATGCAACCCAGCCCCTGCTACTTCTCTCCGTTCCAGGACTTCAGATTAAACCCAGGATCCAGATTAAACTGTCGGGCAGTACCACCTGTTCCGGTGGTTCCAGATTAAACTGTGGAGCAGTATCACCTGTTCCCGTATTCGCTGGATTTCACCATGACCCCGCTGAAGGAAAAGACTGCACCACCGGCACCGGCACCACGGAGTTAGAAGAACTGAATCCACACCACCGCCTGCCCAACTCAAAGCGTTTCTTATCAAATACTCAGCACAATAAAGCTGCTAAATAATTCAGCATCCTTGATAGGAAAATGCCACTTTCCGATGAGCATACTTTCAGCTAAATGAATGTCTTTAAGGGGGATGGTTCCAGGGTGGGTGGCTATAATGAATGTTAGCTATGATTTAATGTATATAAATGCTAAAAAGGAAAAACACACCGCCCAGTTATTGCATATTAAGAAAATGCACTGTATGCAGCGGCTAGGAGTTTCCAAAGTCTCCCTTGTATTTCATAAATTTTTTTATTTCTGAAAGAACACTGCCAGAATCCTCCCTGACTGTCGTTAGTTAGATAAGCCATCAAAGGGGTGCAATGCAATATTGCTTATGCTAAAGCCTTCTCTGCAGCAAAGATGAACTTGGCCCTGTCTCAGCAAAGGAAGGAAACAGTGCGGGAAAGTGCATACAATTTAGTGTAAAACACTTAAAAAAGAGGAATAATCCAGACTGAAATCTAGCCGATAAGGTAAAGAAACCCTGGGACCATGATATTGAAACACTCATACACCCTCACATTAGTATTTCGTAGAAGAAAACATTGACATTTCTTCCATTTCTAATGAAGGTTTGGATGGGAATGAACTAGTCTGAAGACCCTATCTATTGGCAACCCCCAGGTGCAATTTGACTTCTATGTTAGTTATTTTTGTTCATCTTCTGCAGAAACTTAATCTGTATCTTATGCCAGACAAAACAGTTTTCCTTCTGAGGAACTTCAAATGTACCAAATACTATAAAATAACTTTCATATCAGTTCTATGAAAGGGATTAAAGTATTTCATTCCTAGTCATACTTTATATTAACTTTAGGTTATCTTCAACTCACCAAATTAGAAAGCAGGATTATCTATGGAAAATGAATTGAACCTGAAAAATATCATATGTATATACACACACATATACATATTTACAAGTATCTGATGTTCACAAGCCTGCCTTTACTAGTGCAGGGAGGAGAGGGGGGATGTTTCTAATCAAGGACCCGCACCATTCGCTTCTTTTTAGCCATGGATTTGATTTCTATTTCCAATTCGATATTAACTTATCAGCAAATATCTCTTCAACTGTATCAGTTAAACCCGCAGGATGCAAATTTGTGTTTAATAACAGCAGGAAGCCAAAGAAGAGAGCTGGGCTGACTTTAGGAAAAGGATTTCCACCAGAGTCAAGGTGAAAACAGTTCACCCCACACTTGCCTCCTTCCTACTGGCTTTTGGGGTCCATTCAGCACCCTATTGGGACTCCCCTCCAATCACTGAAAACATGGAACACCACACCAATTATCTAAACATCAGGTTTTCTATTTTTATTAAAAACTCACAAATTTATTCAACATGTTTTCTTTCATACAGTGAATGGTCTAATATGCACTGGAGGTCACACAAGCTTAGGTTTATTAGAACAATAAAAGACATATGAGAAATTTAATATATAAAGAAAAAGTAGCAGCTGTTGACTGCATATTTGACCATAAAATTTAAATATTTTGGACTTTCATTTTAAAGACACAAAAATAAAACCTGTGTGGGTCTATATAAGTCATATTAACAATTTCATGAATGTTTAACAGGACTAAAAATTAGCAAAGATGTTTTTTTTTTTTTAAACCTTGTAACACTTTTTTTTTTTAACACTTTCTCAGGTTGCTGGTGCCAGGCACCATTACAGTATTTGTGCTATAATTTATTCTATTTGGCAACTGTCTGAATATCATGTTTTCCCTTCGCCTCGTGTAAACAACACCTTTTTACATACTAGCACAGTGAGCCGCAAGCCCTGCAAATCTGTCAGAACATCTACAGGAAAAGAAAAGAAACAATTTTGGTTGACTGCTCAAAACATTTTGTTTTTGAACAAGAGGTTTCAAAACAGGATATATTAGTAAAACACTGAACTCCTGAATTTAACATTATACGTAAACAGTTGACTGTTTTTAGTTCAATAGTCTTTTTTTTTTTTTTTAACTTTCATGTGAAGGTAGAATTTTTTTTTCTTTTTGTGGAGGTGATGTTCAAGTCATTTTACTGAGAGGTCTGGCTGGAGACCATCCTGTGGAGAGAGGGTGAGTGTGTGAGTGAGTGTGAGCATGAGCGTGTGTGTGTGTGTGTGTGTGTGTGTGTGTGTGTGTGTGTGTGTAGAGAAAGAGAGACAGAGAGGGGGTCTGAAGGTAGAAGAGTTGGTACTGAGGGCTTTACATTTAGAATTTTGCGATATTGGCAAAAACAAAAATCAAAAACCCGGATAGACAAAAAATATATATATATATAGTCCCACCTGATGCACAGCAGGTCGGTGTTTCTGAAGCTATTAAGAGTTTGTTGTCGCTGAACTCCGAGACAACACTAAGGGATCGCCCAGAGCTAGGACCCTCTTGACCGGAGCGCCCCTGACAGCTTCTCCGCCCTCACCCGGGCTGAGCGCCTCTAGTTCTCCCTCCCCGGGCTCCTGGCCTTGCCCAGTGCCGTCGGAGGCTGCAGCTGCCGGAGATGACTTCCCGCCAGCCAGCGGAACCGCCGGTGGAGTCCGTCCACGGATGCAGATCCAGGTCGAGGGTGGGGACAGCTCGGAATTCCCCTTCCGGAGCCCCAGTTCTGCACTTTGCCAGCCAGCGTTTGGATATCCCAGCTCTACCACGAGGCCGATTTGGATCCTATTCTGGAGCCCCTTTGCCATCCAGTCTCCCCAAACTGAGAATAGTCCTCGAGGACGGAGGAAGCGGAGCAGAAGGCTTGCTTTTTATGTTCTTCCCCCCCTATTTTTTTTTTCTTAAATAAAAGCTCGTCTCTCTCTGTACAACCACGAGCTCCCGTGGCCCGTGTGAGACCCCGCTACCACACGGCTGCCTCGTTCATTTCAGGAGGGTGGGACAAGTGGTTCCCGTAGCTGGCTCCGCCGTTGACCGACAGGGAGGAGAAGGGTGGACTGGGCCCGAAGACCTCCGCTGACATGGAGTGGAGCGGCCCGGGCAGGCTGGGTTCAGGACTAGGCGAGTCCCCCGGGGGGTGTGCCAGTATGTCGGTGAATCGCTGCGCCTCGCTGGAAGGATGGTGGCCAGGCAGCGGGTGGTCCAGACCCCCCAGGGGCGTCCCCGAAGGCCCGGAGGATGGCACGAAGGGTAGGTCCACTGGCGTCTGGGCCTGCGAGGAAGGCGGTCCTTGCGGGAAGAAGTCGTAGTTGCCCCCGGGACCATAGTACTCGCTCTGGTAATCTGAGGACCAGCAAGAAGGAGAAAGGGAAGGGTATCAGAGCGCAGCCCCGCGTCTGGAGGGACCCACGGAGTAGAAAGGCAGGCCTGCCAGCGGGCATCGCTGGAAAACTGGGGGAACCGGCTCTTCGTGGGGCACCCGGAGCAGGATGGAGACTTAGCTGCTCCCTACTGGGGACCCTCTTCTCGACGGGGTTGGGACCTCCCCTGACTTGCTTCCCAGTCTCAATAGATAGCAAGAAGTACCTCCCGCGCTGCCACCCGCTTCCAGCGAAGCCTGAGCCGCCTGCCCCCGTCCCCACCCCCCAGCCCACCCCACCGCTTGCCGCTCCAGCACTCTCACCTCCGTAAAAGGAGAAGGGGCCGTTAGGGATGAGCTCGCCCGGCTCCAAGCGGTCCACCAGCGGCCGCATCCGGCGAGGACTGCGGAAAAAGGCGTGGCGCCGTGCGCCCAGCGCACTTAGCTGCTTCATCCTCCGCTCCTTTGAGCGTCGATTCTGGAACCAGACCTGAAGCACACAGGCACCAAGTGAGACCACCACGGAGACTCCACGGGCCATCCGGTGTACAACGGGGGTCCTGTCGTTCACCCCTCTACTACTGCCCTGATAGCTCACTAGGCTGTTGGGGGGGGGCTTGGTATGTGTGTGTGTGCAGTGGTCTCTAAGTAGGACCAGGACAGGGGTGCCCGCCCAAGAAGGGGGTCTGAGCAGACTACTGCCTTAATTAACTTTGCAGTCTCCCTACTGCCAACAGTCAGAGTCTTAGCATTGCATTATCTTAGGGATCACAGATATGGAAACACTCCAAAACAGTGTCACACACAGCTCCCTTTCAGGGTCTCTTGTAGCCCCTACTCCTGTATCATGATAGTGACAGAGACACAGAGAGCCTCCTGCTGAGTGTTTCCCAAGGGTAGTGACACCAAAACCCCACAGTCTGCTTTTCACACTCACACACAATCTCCTAAGTGCCAAACATGCTTAGCCACGGCCTCTCACCAATAGTGACAGCCACACAACCCCACATTCATGAGCTCAGGTTCACACGGCCTCCCAGAGGCTGCCCTTGTCCAGCACTTGGACAAGCACAATCAGCCTCGGGGGACATTCACCCACACCCTCACCTGGCCTCCAGGCACTCGGATTAGAGGCATAGTCACAGTTAGGGCCAGACTCCTGGTGCCCGAGCCACACTCTGTCTGGCCTCTTCCCAATGCAGAGGCCCAGCCAACTGCATAAGGCTTAGCCTACTCCTGCCTACTCCAGGCTGCACCTAGGCAGGGCTGACTTTCCACAAAACCATTTCTCCTTCAACCCAAGGTCTTCTACCTGCTTGGGAGGGCAAGTCTCTCCTCTGGGGCTTTTCACAAAGCTCACAAATTTGGGGGTTGAGGAATTAGAGGAGAGCCTGTGGTACAGTCATCAGAAGAACTGAGCAACTCTGGAGTCCACAGACATCTCTCTGCTCCTTAACGAGGGTGGGAGAGGGACAGAATGTGTACAGAAAAAAAAAAAAAAAAAGGACGCTAGCTTGTTGTCATTGTGGCGTTAGACATTGTGCTTTCTTCCAGCTTTATGCTGAGCTACCAAGCTGCTCCTTCCCCTTAGAGGCTACCACCTCGGTGGGCTTTTTCTCACATTCCAATGTATCCGGCAACCTTTTCCTACTCCTATTCACTTCTCCCCTACCCACCCCCTTCGCCCTGAGAACTCTGGGCTCTCCCAAGCTCAGCCTAGGTTCCCTTAGTGGCCATGGGAGCCTACGGGAGACAGAGTTGCAAACCAAGGTTCTGACCTGGATGACCCGCATGTTGAGGCCAGTCTCCTGGGCCAATTGCTCACGGATATGGCGAGTGGGCTTGGGTGTAGCTGCAAAGGCTGCCTTCAACGTCTCCAGCTGCTTGGCTTTGATGGTGGTCCGGGGTCCCCTGCGCTTGGCACCTAGGTTCTGGTCATCGTTTTCATTGCTTCCACCTTCCTTGTCCGACACGTTGGCACTTTCAGAGTCCTTGGCATCGTCCTGCGATGGGTCTTGGGAATCCGGAGATAAACTAGGGTCACTGCCTGTGGTGGCTGGGGAGAGGGGAAAGGTCTGGTGAGCAGGGACCACGGCCGGCTTTCCTCCCCCTACCTGCCCCCTCTCTTCCCAGTTGGGAATCCTGGCCTCACCCGAGTGGAGGCTGTTCTCTTTGGCGACGCTGCTGTTACTCAGGTAGTCCTCTTTACAAACGAACTTGTTCTCATCGATGATGTAGAGCTCCTCGCCGGTGGAAAGCTGCTTGTTACACATCATGCAGGTAAAGCAGTTGAGGTGAAACACTTTGCTTCGCGCTCTCCGAACCAGATCGCTCGGGGAGATGCCCTGCGCACAACCAGCGCATTTGGTACCGAAACATCTGCGTAAGACGGGTGGGGGTTAGAGAGAAGGAGGAGGCCAGAAGAGGAAGTTGAGGTGGGGTGGGGTAGGGTGGGAGAGAGAATGAGTAAAATCTTATTAAGGAAGTGGGGAATCTGGAGCGAACGCGGGACGTCAGGAAGGGAGGAAATACATTCGGTTAGAGTTAAGCTGCCCTCTACCTCTAACATCATGCCTACACCTTATCCACCAGGAAAACAGCGTCGCGGAAAAAGGTTTCAAAGCGGCTACGGGGGCAGAAAGGAGACGGAGCACACATTTCCCGATTATCTTCAAATAAGTCAAAGTCGAGTTGAGAGCTCCAGAAATGCCCGGCTCTATTCCGCTGGCTCTGCCTTTCTTTCATCACAAAAGGACCTGCGCTCAGGCGGGGGGGGTTGGCAAAGTCCGATCCCGCCGCGAGTAAACAAACACCGACTCCGGGAGAGCTTCGCTGGCAGTAGCTGGGCTGTTGCCACGTTCTTGCGCAAAAGCCTGGCAGATTGGCGCAAGCGGGAGACGCGGCCGGGTTGAGCCGGCTTTAGGTGCCCTGCTGGGCGTAGTTGCCAGCGAAGCCTCCAGGGCCCCGACAAGCCGGTGTGGCTACGTTCTGAGGCTCTGATCCAGCCTTGCCGAGTCTGCTGAAGCTCCAAAACTCAGCCTTTCCTCAACCGCAGCTGGCACCGCTCTTTGCTGCGCGCAGTCCCTTCGCAAACGCCAGCGGCGCATCCTGAACCGCCACCGGGGACTGCGCTTCCACGGCCTTCGGGCAAAGGAGGCCTGAGGAGGCTTCGAACTACCCTCTCCCCAGTTTGATCTAGCCTCACAAACCAAGACCAAAATAGCGGAGTAAAGCGTGGGGTTTCAAATCAGTGGGAAACGCAATTTACACGTGAGGGCATTCTCCTCTGTAGAGTTGTGATTGTGGCAAATAGTGGGTGTAAGGAAACACAGATAAAATAGTGAACAGAGGAGACTCTACCCGGTTCTAACGAGCTGCGCGTCTGCCAGGAGTGGCCTTCCTGGTGGGGGCGTTGGCTGGAAAGGCCACGAAGAGGAGCCTGGACATTGGGCCGAGGCCAAAGCCGGACAGTACGGTTCTCCGAGGTCTCCGCTTAGAGGCCAATCCGAGATTGGGGCTACCCCTAAGGTGTACGGGATTGGCCTCAAGGTCGGACTGTTTACCGCGGCTTTCTCGGACACTGGGACTGTGCAGTTCCGACAAGACCTCTCGGAGAAGGAAGAGGCTGTGGCTAGAATAGAGCCGGAGCTTCTGGAGAACCGTCCATCTGGGGAGCCCAGAAAACGCGGTTGGTTGGCCGGAGAGCTCGGCTGCGGGAAAAGGCGAGTGGCAGCTGCCACCCGGAGGCCGCTCAGCCTCGCCGGCCCGCGGCTCGGAGGGGCTTCTGAGCTGAAGCCGCCTCAGACCCTTTCTTCCCCAGGCGCGCGCAGCCAAGCCCCGGCCTCGCTTTCCAGGCTTCCTGAAGGGCAGAAGCCGGAGGCACTCGCCTGCCCTGGTGAAGGGCCATCTCCCGACGGGGCCGCCTGGGCCGCGCTGACCTCTGTCCGAAGCTGGCCGGGCAGGGCCCGTGGGGAGGAGGCGGCAGAGGCGCGGGAGGGAGGTACTCACCGGAAGAAGTCGTTCTTACAGTAGAGCTTGCCCTCCCTGGAGAAGCACTTCTCCGTCAGGTTGCATTTACATTCACAGCACTGGACGCACTTGACGTGCCAGGCCCTGTCCAGCACGTTCAAGAGGAAACGGTCCAGGATGGGCCTCTTGCAGCCCGCACAGTGCACCATGGTCTTTGGTTTGGTCCGGTGAGGCCCGGAGCGACAGGGCAGTTAAGAGTCAACAACGGGATGAGTCCTGAAGACAAAACAACCGGCTCCTCCAAAAAGAAGAAACCCCCCCGCTCTGGTGGAGCAAGCCAAAACCTGTACCGGCAAAATCAAAACGGGGGAGGCGGGGGAAGAGACCAGGCCGGTGGCAGAGGGCAGCCCGGAGCGGCGCCACCCGGGCCCACCAGGCGAGGAGAACCAGTCTCAGGCGGGCGAGGAAGCGGCTTCTCCGGCCCAAAGCCCGCGGGGGGAGCGAAGGTCACCGAGAAAGGCGGCAAGACGCAAATAAATAAAACTGAAACGGACGGGAAGGGAAGACGCCAAGAACTCGGGGGTTCGGGGTAAGCGACGCTGGGTTCTGTCGGGCTTGAGGTAGAGGCTGTCAGAAGTCAAAAGTGCATTATCTGCTTTTGTCGGGAGTTACCAAGGCAGGCTGTGTGCGCGCCAGACTGCCCGGCCACCGGGTTCTCCCCTTAAAAAAAAAAAAAAAAACAAATCAAAACAAAACCAAAAAACACGAAAAGAAAAGAAGACGGGAGTAGAAAGCTTTGGCTCCTACATCGCCGACTTCTTGCAGCGGCTCGGGGCACCCTGCGCGCCCGCTCCGGGCCCAGGGAGGGGGCGGGGGCAGGCCGAAGGAGGTGTGGGGTGGGGAAGGCGGGCTGGGTAGGATATTTTGTTGATTGTAGTTGTTGCTTAGTTGTTTTTTTCCCCGCCCTTTTGGAGAGTTTTATTTTTGCCAGTCAAAAAATAATAATAATAATAATCCAAAAAAAAAAAAAAAAACCAAAAACAGAAAAAAAACAAAAAACAAAAAACAAAACGGAAAGGGACAACTTCGGGCAGATGAAGCCGGGCGCACTCGCACGCTCCCCACCGCCCCAGCCCTGTCACCTCGGCCGGTGGCAGCCTTGCGCGTCCTCCGGGCGGCCCTCCCTGCGCCTGGACGCCTTCGGGGGGAGGCAGCCGGTGCGGCTCTTCACCGCGCCTGGCCGAGCTTCCCGGCTTCAGTCACCGCTCGCGGGCGCTCGGCCCCGCATTGCTCGGCCCACACGCTCCCGGGGCCTGCGTTCCAGAAGCCGCACGGTCTCTCCACTTTTTCTTTTCTTTCTTTCTTTTTTCCCCCTCTTTTTTTTTCTTTTTCTTTTTTTTTTTTTTTTTTTTTTTGTTGTTGTTGTTGTGGCCAATCTGGGTTTTCTTTCTCCCCCCTCCCCCTTTTTCTTTTCCTCTTTCAACGCGAGGAACCAAGGGGAGGTGGCGTCTTGGAGAGCTTTAGAATAAGGTCCTGCGGGCGACTGGAACAGTTCTGCGCGGCTCTGCCGGTGTCGCTGTCCTGCCCCCGGGTCCCCTGCTGGCTGTCCCCGGCGGCGCGCGTCCCCCGGTCCCCGGTCTCCCGGCCCAGTCTTCGGCGCGTCTCTCCCCAGCTCCAGCGGCTCGGTCACTGCTCCTGGCTGTTGGCTGAGCCCTGGAAGCCCCCTCGCCTTAATGCAGCGCCCGCCGACGTCACGGCGGCCCGCGACCAATCAGCGCCTCGCGGTCCCTCTGTAAACCATCCTGCGTCCCCCCCAGCCGGGGAGAATGCGGGGAGACCGCGTTTAGAGGATCAGCGGCGGCGGCCCCGCGCGGACTCGGAGACCGGCAGCGAGACGTCCCGGCCCCTTCCAGGTTTGGAACGACGTCGGTTCCAGCGTCAGGGACTGGGAGGAGGTGCGGAGGAGGTCAGAGTTCTGGGCGGGGGGCGGGGAGGGGGGGTTAAAGGCAAACCTCCAAAAAAAAAAAAAAAAAAAAAAGGTCTTGCTGGAATTAGAGTGCATCTGGGTCTGGAAGCCTGGGAGGTCCTGGAACACTGGCTTTGCAATTCAGTAGGTGTTGATGGCCCGCCCCTGCTTGCTCTTTTGGCCTGGAAATTGCCCCCGGGACAGGTCGCGTCTTTGGAGAGGTAGGGGGCGCTTGGCAGCCTCACCTCCCTCCTGTCTCTGTTTCGTTTGCCCTCCCCACCCCCCACCGCCCGCCCCCTGCAGCCCATCCAAAGTCCACCCGGCAGGGAGTCCGGGAGACACGAGTGTCGTCCTCCACGCTGCGCTCCCTCGGAAAGTTGATTCCGCGGTTTCCTGGTGGGGGCGGGGGAGACCGGAGGCCCGGCGCCAGGGTGGGAGAAGGAGTGGGTGGGGGAAGCGCTTCGGGGTGAGGAGCTGCAACTCGGGCGAGAAGTTGTGAGAAAACGGTGATCCGGAGACACCTTTTACAAACAAAAAACAGACGACTAGGTGGGAAACCGCGGGGCTCCCGCGGCTGGGGGAGGTGGTAGCCGCGGGGGGCCGCCCCGTGGCTGCGAGGTGGGGGGAGGCGTGCGGCGCGCTGGCGGAATACGCCTGGAACGAACCTTTTCCAGCCTTCAGACACCAGCGGACCGACCGTCCTACCTACCGGAGTTCATTCCTTAGGGACAATACACTTTTCCTAAGGATGCTCGCGTTACAAACTCCTGGCCACCGCCTACGGGCACGGAGCTGCCCTAGGTGAGGTCCAGAGGGCTTGAGCTTTAGGAGTCATTCTAGTTCCCGGGAGCACTCAAGTTAGCTGTAGGGACTGTTTTTGTTTGTTTGTTTGTTTGTTTGTCTTCTAAGCCTAACCCAAAGTTTCCTCAAAGCGGTGCCACTTTTGCTTCCTATTTAGGGGAGATGCTAGGAAGGCTCGTTTGATCAAACCTGGAAGAGAGTAAGGATGGCCCTGCAGCCGTATCTGGGTGGTATTTCGGAATCTGCCTTTTGAGTTCCTTCATCTGTGAGCCTGGCAGATTTAGCCACTGCGCTAAACTGGGAGAAACGCGCGCGGAAACGCAGTGGTCCTGGCAGTGAATCCGGGTCCACAAACGGAAGACCCTCTTCCAGCGAAAAGAGAAGCCGCTGCCACGAGTCCGGCTGGCACCGTCGGTTGCCAGCGCCCTCCTCCCCCTCTGCTTTTTTTTCTTGCACTTCCGGGCAACCTCGAAGCTCCTCGCCGGCTCTCGCCTTCCCACCGGCAGGGTCTTTGCTTTGTAAACCCAGTCCGCCGCCGCCTGCCTCACTCTCCTCCTTAGAGATCTGCCCTCACCCCCGACCCCTAACGCAAGCAACTGTGGGCCAAAGTGGCACAGTCCATAGCTTCTGTGCATCATTTCCTCCCCGGCTCAGACTCGGGGGTGAGCAGGGTTGGAAGGTGGCCCTCCCCCCCCTAACCGGCGGGCTCTGTGGGTTCCGACCGAACGTCAAGATCTTCCTGCGGACCTGACCCGCTTCCTAGGACAAATCGGTCAGTACCCAGCCTTCTGGTACCGCCCCCGACCCCCGAGGAGCCAAACGTGGCGGAGCGCGGGATCCTCTTTTGCAACTCACGAGTCGCTGCCCAAAGAAGAGACCGTGGGTCTCCAGGCTCTCCACCTACAGCTAGGACCCAACCGCCCCTCTCAGGGGTCTGCGGTCGCCCCGGTCCCTGGTGGCTCACACCCGGCGCTGCTGGGCTACTTCACGCGCAAAGCAGAGGGGCCCGGGACTGGGGAACCCTGGAAACTGCTGTCGCGGGGACCTGTAGGGCGACGTCTGTACTCGGTTGCCCGCCCTTTCCTTTTCGCGTCTTTCTTCCGTAGTCGTGGAGAGATTGTTTTAGTGATTCGGGAGGCAATGACTCTGAGACCCAGATATTGGAGAAAAGGCCCCTTTTAGAGGAAGGGAGCTGGGCAAAGACAGGACACTGGTTCTAGGCATCGTGTTCTGCTTGTCCCCGAGTCCAGATGGTGAAGAAAACCGGTCCCGGAGCCAATCCCAGCTTCTGGTGTGTGTGTGTGTGTGTGTGTGTGTGTGTGTGTGTGTGTGTGTGT